TGTAATGGTGACTGAAGAGTGTTATTTCATGTCTATTAGAGCCCTCTAGACATGAAATAACACTCTTTAGTCACCATTACACTCATATTACCCAATATACAGGTATTTGAAAAAACCGCCATAGAGTGAAGCCGCGAAAGTCGAAGCGCGAAGTGGCGAGGGACGACTGTACCTCCAAAGCTGGATTTTTTCTGAACTCTGGATCCCAAAAGGTACATGTGTACCAAGTTTCAGATTTCTAACTTCTCTAGAACATGGTTAGAATTAGCATCAGTCACTCAGTCACGATCGTCTATATATATTAGATTAAGCAGTTGAACCAGTTTTCATAGGAGGCCATAATGAACCACCCAAGGCCACAACCTACCAACATTAGAAAATTCATATCATTTCAATATGTGACTGTAACAGAACGAATCTCATATCGTCAAATAGACCTTTTTACTGGACTCTTAACTCTGCAATTTTGGTTTTGTTATGTTGACTCCTACGTAAGATAATGGGGCAGTGAAATAAAAAATTATGATTACATTTTGAGAAAGGCATGTAATTCAGGTTTTATATGATTGCTGGCATAGTTTGAGAGTTATTAAATTCTCTCAAGGGGTCACATGTGCCTGAAAACTGATATTTTCAAAGTTCATATTTTATTTACCAATGGAAGGAAAAAGAAAATATATTGGATTTTGGAGTTTCGTGTAAGACCTGTTAATGCTGAAAATTTTAAATATTTTTCTGAGGTGGTTGAGTGTCATCCCTTGGTCAGTTGTCATGGAATGGCCCACAGGAAATGTCTAGATCTGTTATATAATTCATTTTCAATTAAAAATTTGCTTAGGATTATGATTTTCTTTCAAGCCTTCCTGTTTCATGGTATTTCTTTATATTAAATCCAAACCATTGAGCTTCTGAGCTGCATGAAATTCAGTTGAAGCCAAAAACCTATTGATAAAATTTTCAAGGAAGACGGATTAAACCGACAGCCTTTTTTGTTAATTTTTGAGTTGTAAGTCATTTGGTTGCCCCCTCTCGGGTGGAAACTAAGAAACTATCAGCACCACAGCTGCATTTTATCTGTAAGTCTAGTGAAACCATGTAATTATCACTCCTAGTAACTTGACATCTGGTGCACCTGCACCTTCCCAACAGGATATTTAACCCCCTGAAATATATCATGCCCCTGTCCACAGTTCATTTTTCAATCCCCAACTCCATCCCCCAAGGTTGACTAGGATCAAATGTGGCAGCCTAAGAAGAATGTTTGGAGGAGACTGAGGAAAGATATAAATTAAGGAATGAAGGGGTCCCATAACACATCCTCAGCCATTAAAGTGCATGCAAAGTGGACAGAACCTTGCCCTTAGTGAAATTTTCCCTTGTTTCAGGGAAACTGGCGATGTTCTACTTTTTTTTTTATGGAGTCCTCATTGCCATATTTGCCTTGTTAATGGGGATACTACAGCAGACTCTCAATGACTTCTATCCCACATTCATGCTGGACTCAAGTGCCATCGGTACTAATCCAGGTCTGTTTCATAAGGTTGTTGATATTTTTCTTTCAGCCTGTTTTTTGGCACCATATTTATTATTGTGCCTCCAGGCTATGGACCTATTTTTTTTATTCCCTAGCAGAATTAGAAAATAGGCTTACCTGAATGCTAACAATAGCTTCTCCATTTTCATGGTTTTTTTACACTCCTCTGTTGCTTGGAAAATGGAGATGGGAATGGGAAAAAATATGCCTTCGCTAGGAGCAATAACTGTTGTCTATCATACTCTTGCCCTTCCTTTCCTAACCCCTAATATTGCTGGTTAGATGCAAGCATGAAAGGCATACTCCTTTGTTAGCTCATTGCTTTCATCAAGATGAAGTGTCCATGATATGCCTATTCATCAGTTTAAATTTTCTCACATTTTTTTGCTTGGTGGTCAAGGTTGAGAATACCCAAGCATACTTTTAAGCCACCAAAATTTTAAACTTCTTCATACCTGTATTGATGTGCTGGTGGTGTTGTTTTATAGGTCTTGGGTTTCGACCAATGCCCCCTTATAATGAAACAGAAAGTACTCTGATTCACTTTGCTCCACCATACCGGTATACTTGGGAACATTGGGTTGAGGATCTCACCACCTATCTTGATCGTAGGTTGTTCACGAACCACCTCCCCCCTTTTTTTTTTATTTGTTGGTTAATGTATTTTTTTGTATGTCAGCCTACGAGAAGACAGATGAAAGCAGTGGAGAATATGTATCACAGTGCTCTTTCGGGAGGCCCAGGGAACCCAACAAGGTGTGCTTCTTTGACATCAAGACCCTGGGCACTATTTGCACAAAGGAGAACTTCTTTGGCTATGATCGAGGTTATCCATGCATCCTTCTCAAACTCAATCGGGTAAGCTTCCAAATTTTTGGTTCTTAAGTCATTTGGAGAACCTTCAAGTATGTAATGATGTACCATATGTGATTGAATAATGAAAATGAAGGGAAAATGTAAAAAAATAGAATTTAAAAGAGGAAAAGGCATTGTAAACCTCGTAAGGTTGGTATAGCAGATATTTCCATCCCATTTCATGTGTTTGTTCAAATTTATCTGTAACAATAATATTAAACTACAATATAACAATATGAATGTTAACTGAAAAATTGTTCAAAATTCAAGATCATTCTTCTTTTACTGGGAAAGGCTCCCCATTAGTGGCAAACCCACAAATTGAATACTCCAAGAAACTAGAGGTTAATTCCACAACAGTAATAGGCAAGATCATGTTCCCCCATGAGCTTCAGCAGGAAAAGTTGACCCAAAATGAGATGGAAATTATGACATCATTCTCATGAAAGTGCAAAAAATTATGAAGAAGTGGAGAGGAAATAGCCTTTGATTAGATTGTCATACAGTCATCTCTCAATAACTTCAACCTCTTCAATTCTAATTTCTCTCTAACTCAAAGATACTGTGTTTCACTTTGAAATTCTCATAAGGAAAATGAATTTTTCCCCCTCTTACTGCTATAAGACAAATTTCTTGATAACTCTAAAGTAATTCTTGTATTGTTCATATTTTTCCTGTACAAATACACAGACAAACTTTACATCAAGAGTGTCCCATACAAACTCAACCAAGAAGTGCACTCAACCATCTTGAATTTAGGGATAAAAACTCTAAGTGATTACAGTCGGTCTAATATCCCAGCGGAAAATGGAGTCAACTTCATCAAATCTGCAGTTAGCAAGATATCACCCTCAAACTTTGGGGGAAAACAGAAAACCCCCATGGATGCTAAATTTCCATCCCAGGAACCTTTCATCATACCAAGGCATGCAAAAGCTTCAACTGAAGGTCTTAAATAGCTGAAGAATTCGTCCCATGCATCACTAAAGAATTAATTAGATTTCAACATCATAGTTGAGTTTGAAAATGTAAAATTTAGGCAATTTTCACCCCAGAAACATCCCTTGTGTTGAGGGAAAGGACAAATCTCTTGTTATGCTTTATTTTACCCCTTTCTGAGGTCCATTGATAAAGCAAGTTACTTTTTTGAGTTTTTGTCAGTTACACAGAAAATTTCACCTCAAATTTGGGATTTTCTGATTTTTGGTCATCTTCAGTTGAGTATTTTTCAATGCGACAGAGCGCATACAATATCAAGAATGGGGTCATTAGAAAGGGGAGCTTAACATCTTTCCAATGATATATGATTTTTGAGCCATTTTCATTTTTAAAAAAGTAATTTGTCAAAACTTGCATATTCCAATAATTCCCATTCTCCTCAAGTGGCTGAATATGGTCATGTGATATGTCACTGAAATGGTCTTTTAGAGCTCTATACGGTGTTTTGAGTAAATCGCAGTTACATGTAAGTGAATTCATCATGAGAGTCAAAATGTCACTCAACCTCAACGTCCCTAACCATTAGTGAGCAGAATGTGTAGTGCAAAGAAAATCAACATGCCAACAAGTTGAGCCAAAATCATCGCATATAGCTCTAAAAACTATTTTTAAAATTTTCTAGTGGTTCATCACATGACAAAATTCAGCCACTTGAAGAAAAAAGTGAATTTTTAGAATCTCCAAGTTTATAGCAGATGCTTTTGGGGCGAAAATTGTCTAAAAGTTGACATTTTCAAATTCAACTGTTATGCTGAAATCTTATTCAAACTGCAATGATGCATGGAGCAAATTGTTCAGCTATTAAAAACCTCTGGTTCAAGCTATTGCTTGCCTCCATGCGATGAACCATTTCTGAAATGGAAATTTTACCATCAATTGGGTTTTGCAGTTTTTCCCCAAATTTCAGGGTGATATCACACTGACCTCGGATCCGATGGAAGAGGTTCTCTTTTCCTGGGATGTTAGATTGGCTACAATCGCTTAGTTTTTTTATCCCTAAGTGCAGAATGGTTGGATGCCATTATATATATTATATTGTTTGAGTTTGTATTGAAAAGACCCATCTATATAACTACCCTTTCTTCAGACTTGGTTAATCCAAGAATGCGATGATTCACATCTTTGGTTCCCACCCTGATCGTTTGGGAAAGTCAAGGCTGTGATGTGGCACAGGGTGCTTGTGCCTGCATCTTATTGATACTGCATACTGGTGTCAACCAGTCAGTGTATGTGAACTTCACTATCAACCACAGCTACAATCTCATGCTATTGAAATTTTGCAGAGCCTTGTTGAGGCCACATCTGGTTTGGCACAAGAGACTTTCAACACAATAGCGCACTTGGAAAATATAATCAAACATGAGGGTGCCTCAAAAACACACCGAACTCTCCTGGCTGGCTTTTTCAAGTGATTATGCTTAAAGTTAGTGTTGCAAGTTTTGTATTATTGTATTGTATACAATGTTATAGAGCATAGAATCCAAATACCTCAATTACTCGAATTCTCATTAATTTGGATTTCCCTTGAACTTTGAGTTATTGAGAGTTCACTGTACATTGCCATTGCAGTATTACCTTCAATCTTGACTGCATGAAATTAATGTCACTCCTCAGCATTGGCTCCAGTCAAAGATCTCATTGCTTGTAAAAGTTGAAGATGAATATCTTAGTTGAAGGGTCACTTTTGCTTAGGTACAAGGCTGAAATTTTTTCATGACTCATCCATGAATTTTAATCAATCTGGACTCAGGAAAAAGTTTCTATTTCATTTTCAATATCTTATAGTTGTTAAAAGTAGGAACTTAAATTTAGTATTTTGCAGTATAGAGTTTATTGTAGGATGCTGTATTGGATCTACTGTAAGGTACAATATACAGAGTGGTTAAAAAAAAAATCACCCTTTTCATTTATTGTGGCAAAGTACCTTTGCCTGATACCTTCAGCCTAGTCTGCCACATCTCTCTAAGGCACTGCTTAATCCTTTCACTGTTCTGCAAGAAAATGCCCTCCACCTTGTGTAGTTTTAGACCTCCACTCAGGCTACCATTACACAAGCGGTGCATACAACCCGAGTATGTACTCAGGCTAACAGTGAAAGGGTTAATGGATGTTACTCCTGATGTGAAAAAATAATGCACATGCACCAGCAATTTTTAACTTCCTGACACAAAAAGTTTTTGTGTAAAAAGTATTTGTCATATTTCATTGAAATAAAATTCATTAGATCAGGGAAGTAGGGTATTAATAAACCTACCAATTGCATGGGTGTGTCTTCATTAGTACTGATTTAGCAAGCAAATGACAAAGGGTGAACATTTTTGGTCCACCTTGTATTTGGAAGTACAAGTATGAACATGATTTTCACCATCCATTCTTGTAAATGTAGCACCATCATGTCATTCCAATGCATCCCTTGTTTCAGGGATTGGAGCCATGATTTGTGGCTAAAGCAAGGCATGTATCACTCATTTTACAATGTGAGGCTTGGGTCTTCTGATGAAAAATCATTGTACCTTAATGTGCTGAATATGAAATGTTTGTACAGAAGGCAGAATTTCGATTTTGTTTTGAATAGATCATAGGATGGAAGCCAGAGGTGTATGAGAGCATGGATGAACTCCCTCATGACATGCCTAAAGACCTTCGGGAGCGGATACAGAAAGAAGCCAACAAACATGGAAACGTGAGTTGTGCTTTCCTATCTGTTTGTGCCCACTTGTTCCAGGGATTCTTTCATCATTCTTAAAAAGGTTGAATAAAGGATGACCACCCCCATAGGCCATGGATGCATCTGCAGACAATTGAAGAGCTCCTTGTTAGATTATCATTGAGATACCTACATATCTTTTGGAGAAAATGAATGACAAGATTGGAAAGGCCCACTCAAAAAGTTGTTGACATGGTCCTTGGTACCAAATGAATACCAATTGCTCTAACTAGAAACAACATCAGGAAGGAATGGTGCAATAAATCCTTTATCTTCATGAACCTCAATTGGCCTTGCAACCTTGTGATGTCGCTGGTGATGAGACTTAGATTTGGTATTTTGAGATAGGACCTAAGCAAAAATATCACATTTAGGTTGAAGGAGGCCAGCCTTCCCAAAAAATTTCAGGGGCCAAGTTAAGGGATCATAAGATGATGCATTTAATTTTTCCCACATTGAAGGCATTGTTTGTCAGGTTTCAGTGCCAAAGACAGGGACAACCTAGTTGTATGCAGATGAATGTTGTCCCCATGTCCAAAGGAAAAAAGTCTACACTCCCTTATGAGTTTAAAGATGGCAGTGTAAGGAATGGCCTAAAGCAATGACATGGTGTGTGTGATGTAACTTACCACGTTAACCTCCAATGTATAAAACACTGGATCTTCCCTGTAGCACCATGTGACACACCAGCATGTTACATGGCAGTTGACATGTTAACATCTTCTTTCACTGAGCTCTTCAATTGAGTTTAACATCAAAACGCTTTGTCATGCTGATGAAGAAAGTCATATCTGTTGAAGCAGAGACATTCAAATATCAGGGGTTGCACTAGGTTTCTTGCCATAAGGGTCCCCAGGACCCTCAGGTCTGATATGAAAGGGTCCTCTGATAATTAAGGGGGTTACTTTCAAAGTGAAGCTCAAGGGAATCATGAAGGGTTCCCCAAAAGTAAAAGTCCAGCAATCCATGCTTATTTGCCGACTTAACATAACCAAGCAGTATGATATTCAATCCAGCAGTCTTAGGTCTTCTGCCTGTGTGTCCCAGGAGTCCTGGGACCCTCAGGATGCATGGACAGGAGGCCAGGGCAAGAAACCTAGTGCAACTCCTGAATATGTAATTTGCTTCCCCACCATATTGTCAAACTGAAGCTTTCATTTTATTTTGTGACAGACTCCTCCTGCAATGGTGTGGGTGTCATGCTCTGGAGTGACAGCAGCTGATGTGGAAAACATGGGTGCCCTTGAGTATGCACCCTATCCAGGCTTCCCTGCATATTTCTTTCCCTATGAGAGCACCCCAGGGTTCCGTTCACCCTTGATTGCTTTGCGTTTCACAGGCCCTGAAGCTGGTGTGGTCATTAGTGTTGAATGTCGTGCATGGGCCAAAAATATAATCCAGGACAGAGCCAACAGACGTGGTTTTATTCGCTTTGAGCTTCTCAGAGACTGAGCAGTTTTCTCATTCTGAAGTCATTACTCCAAAACGTTATTTTAAAATTTCTCTGGTAGTCATTGCAAACCCACATAGTCACTGCCTGACTCCCCTTCCCCCCCCCCCCCNTGCACGGCCCTCGCGAGCCCCAATCACCCCCCCCCCCCCCCCCCCCCCCCCCCCCCCCCCCCCAAAGAAATTTAGTCCCCCTGGTTGCCGCCTAAACCTTCTTAACAGGAATTTCATGGTGGAGAATGCTGAGTAAATCACACTGAAAGATTATATCTTCAAAAATCAGAGCATAGCAATGGACTTGAAATCAGTACCTAAACGCATGGGAATTGTTGCTATTACTGCCCTATGATGTTGCTCAATTTGCATAGATGCATTTTGGCCTCTTTCAGAAATAGCCTCTCCTCCTGTATTTTTCCTTGAGAGCTTAGACATGAGATCATAGGAAAGAAACTTAAACCCACTTTGAGTTAAATTTGTGAATGTTTCTGAGTCATGGGTGCAAGGGTCTATTAAAGGCTTGCAGCCTTTGAAGGACCATTACTTTGCTTCTATGCCTCTTGTCACTTCTTCTTCTCTGAAGCCTTCTTGTTCATGGAAGTACTGAGATCATGCAGTAACCACCAGGTGGGCTGAATTCCTTTTTTGTATCTTTTTAAATTTTGTTTGTCTTCATTCACCCCCTTGTCCATCTATATGATCTCATGCTTTTTTTTTTACATTTAGTTGCAAGTTGCTGCTCTAATGACATGTATTCATCTGTGAATATCTATTCCATACTATTCCGTCCAGTGCTGAGATCCATTCATTACCTCTGAATCTCTGTTATTTTTAAATCTGAAAATCTCCAATATTTTTATATTGTTGTCCTCTCACGACAGGTGTTGGAATGCAGCTTTAGAAGGAACTGATTTTTTTTGTTTTGCTTTCTGTACCAACATCCTCTGTTAAGAGTGTTGTGGGCTTGAAGTGGATGCACTTTTTGGGAAGTTCAAGGACATGTTGATGTTTGTCATATTGCTACAGAACCTTGAAATGTCAAGGAAGTAAGGTGTTCCTGTTCATTCCTTCTGTTGGAGCTTTGCTTGGGTCATGTGGCTGGATGGTCCCAGTGACTTCAATGTGGATTATGGAACTAGATTGTTGAGGTTATTAAGCAGGGTATTGCAAATGATGCTTATTGGTCAATGGGAAAAAGAAATACCGTCAAAATCAAAAAGTCTGAGAACTTGATGTGTCTTTTTTAAGTTAATTGTGAATTCATGAGGAGGTTTCAAGGCATTATTTTAAAAAGTTTATGCTTGTGTTCTGCTATCTCATTCTATCCTGTGATGTCACGTGAAACTGTCACCACAATGATGCTGCTATTCACAAACCCAGTGATCTTAAGCAGAGGCCTCAATCATCTATTGGTGCTGTCTTTATAAATGCATTCCATTCCTGTCTGCCTGTCCTGTTTTTACTATGGACCAACCATTACTTGCATGTTTATTTACTGCAATTAAAGGACCATTTTGACTCTTTGTATCCCACAATTTGATTCATTTTTAACTTCGTTGTTCACGTCAACTGTGAACTTTTACTTATCCTCCTGCATCATCTTCCTGGTGCTGTCTCCCTGCTTCTCCTTATTGCTCAATATGGTTGCAAGCCCTGCCCAATGAAGTTGCTGGGGTCCTGCAGGACTAGGCTGTTTTCATATTCCCCCCTATCCAATACATATTTTTAATTCAGGCATCAGATTCAGTGTTATGATAAGGCACTTAATATGCAAGTAGATGTAGATGTTATGTAAGAAAAGAACAAGAAAAAAAAAGTTGATATGAAAGAAGAAACTTTTGCATATGCTTTTATGGACAAAACAAAATGGGGGCAATGTAGACGCAAGGGACTAGGCAGTAAGCGGCTAGGATGTGCTAAAAGAAATATATATATTCGTGAGAAAATCACGCCGATCAAGCCAAACCTACAGCCAGCACGAGTCCGAACTTCAGGGAAAATGAAAAGAGAATACTAAAAAAGCGAAGGATAGCTAAGGAGACCTAATGGACTGGCAAGTCGTAGGAGTCTCGCCAGGGGCACGATCCTACCAAACAACTTGCAGTGTAGTAAAACCAGGGGGGGTCGGAGAGGTGGGGGTAAAATCTTGCGCATGTGATGACGTCAGCGAAACGTTCCACTATAAAAGCGGGCACT